CAAATTGGGGAGGGGGAGTATTGAAGAAGTGAATGTTTTCAGATATTTGGGAGTTGACGTGTCAGCGGATGGGTTTATGAAGGATGAGGTTAATCATATAATTGATGAGGGAAAAAAGGTGAGTGGTGCATTGAGGTATATGCAGAGGCAAAGAAGGGAATGTATGAAAGTATAGTAGTACCAACATTCTTATATGGGTGTGATGCTTGGGTTGTAAATGCTGCAGCGAGGAGGCGGTTGGAGGCAGTGGAGATGTCCTCTCTAAGGACAATGTGTGGTGTAAATATTATGCAGGAAATTCAGTGTGGAAATTAGGAGAAGGTGTGGAGTTAATAAAAGTATTAGTCAGAGGGGTGAAGAGAAGAGAGTTTGTTGAGGTGGTTTGGTCATTTAGAGAGAATGGATCAAAGTAGAATGACTTAGAGAGCGTATAAATCTGTAGGAGAAGGAAGGCAGGGTAGTGGTCGTCCTTGAAAAGGCTGGAGGGAGGGGGTAAAGGAAGCGTTGTGGGCGAGGGGTTTGGACTTCCAGCAAGTGTGCGTGAGTGTGTTAGACAGAAGTGAATGGAAACAAATGGTATTTGGGACCTGACGAGCTGTTGGAATGTGAGCAGGGTAATATTTAGTGAAGGGATTCAGGGAAATCAGTTATTTTATATAACCAGACTTGAGTCCTGGAAATGGGAAGTACAATGCCTGCACTCTAAAGGAGGGGTTTGGGATATTGGCAGTTTGGAGGGATATATTGTGTATTTTTTATATGTATATACAATGGACCCCCTGTATACGATATTAATCCGTTCTTGAGAGCTCATCCTATGCCAAAATTATTGGAAGGCGAATTAATTTTCCCCGTAAGAAATAATGGAAATCAAATTAATCCATGCAAGACACCCAAAAGTACTATGAAAAAAAAAGTTTTACCACATGAAATATTAAGTTTAATGCACACAAACTGAAGAAGATATGCACAGTTAGTAGTACTCTACTAACAATAGAATACATGACACTTACCTTTAATGAATGTCTGGTGATGATTGATGGGATGGGAGGAGGGGAGAGTTTCGAAGCTGTTAATGTTTAGAAGGGGAATCCCCTTCCATTAGGACTTGAGGTAGCAAGTCCTTTTCCGGGGTTACTTCCCTTCTTCTTTTAATGCCACTAGGACCAGCTTGAGAGTCACTGGACCTCTGTCGCACAACAAATTTGTCCATAGAGCTCTGTATCTCTCGATCCTTCAAGATTTGCCTAAAATGGGCCACAACATTGTCATTGTAATAGTCACCAGCACGACTTGCAATAGCTGTGTTAGGGTGATTTTCATCCATAAAGGTTTGCAGTTCAGCCCAATTTTCATTAAAATTTCTTGACAGTGCCTCGCCCAATCTATCATCTTCTCTCCTTTTGCACTCTCTTACCACTCTCTTCACCTTTCTTTTACTCTCCATATACAGTGGACCCCTGCTTAACGATCACCTCCCAATGTGACCAATTATGTAAGTGTATTTATGTAAGTGCGTTTGTACGTGTATGTTTGGGGGTCTGAAATGGACTAACCTACTTCACAATATTCCTTATGGGAACAAATTCGGTCAGTACTGGCACCTGAACATACTTCTGGAATGAAAAAATATCGTTAACCGGGGGTCCACTGTACTATACTCTTTGTATAACACTTCTGCTTTGTAAAAACCTCTCATAAGCTAACTTCTTCTCTTTTATCACACGCTTTACTTCATCATTCCACCAGTCACTCTTTTTTCCTCCTGCACCCACCCTCCTATAACCACAAACTTCTGTCCCACATTCTAATACTGCATTTTTAAAACTATTCCAACCCTCTTCAACCCCCCCACTACTCACATCTGCACCAGCCCACCTTTCTGCCAGTAGTTGCTTATATCTCACCCAAACTTCCTCCTCCCTTAGTTTATACACTTTCACCTCCCTCTTACTTGTTGTTGTCATTTTCCTCTTGTCCCATCTACCTCTTACTCTAACTGTAGCTACAACTAAATAATGATCCGATATATCAGTTGCCCGTCTATAAACGTGTACATCCTGGAGCCTACCCATCAACCTTTTATCCACCAATACATAATCTAATAAACTACTTTCATTACGTGTTATATCATACCTTGTATATTTATTTATCCTCTTTTTCATAAAATATGTATTACTTATTACCAAACCTCTTTCTACACATAGCTCAATTAAAGGCTCCCCATTTTCATTTACCCCTGGCCCCCCAAATTTACCTACTACTCCCTCCACAACATTTTTACCCACTTTAGGATTGAAATCCCCAACCACAAGTACTCTCACACTTGGTTCAAAACTCCCCATGTATTCACTCAACATTTCCCAAAATCTCTCTCTCCTCTACACTTCTCTCTTCTCCAGGCGCATATCTGCTTACTATAACCCACTTTTCACATACAACCTTTATTTTACTCCACATAATCCTTGAATTAATACATTTATAGTCCCTCTTTTCTTGCCATAGCTTATCCTTCAACATTATTGCTACTCCTTCTTTAGCTTTAACTCTGTTTGAAACCCTTGACCTAATCCCATTTATTCCTCTCAAATGAAACTCTCCCACCCCCTTCAGCTTTGTTTCACTTAAAGCCAGGACATCCAGCTTCTTCTCATTCATAACATCCACAATCCTCTCTTTCTTATCATCTTCATAACATCCACGCACATTCAGACATCCCACTTTGACAGTTTTCTTCTTATTCTTTTTAGTAATTATTACAGGAAAAGGGGTTACTAGCCCATTGTTCCCAACATTTTAGTTGACTTTTGCTACAAGCATGGCTTACGGAGGAAAGATTCTTATTCCACTTCCCCATGGATATAAAAGGAAAAGTAATAAGAACAAGAACTATTAAGATAAAATCAAAGGAAAATCAGATGAGTGTGTATAAATAAATGTGTACATGTATGTGTAGTGTTACCTAAGTGTAAGTAGAAGTAGCAAGATGTACCTGTAATCTTGCATATTTATGAGACAGACAAAAGACACCAGTAATTCTACCATCATGTAAAACAATTACAGGCTTTTGTTTTACACTCACTTGGCAGGATGGTAGTACCTCCCTGGGTTGTTGCTGTCTACCAACCTACTACTTTGAAAATATAAATAAATCTTCTTCTTTCAACAAACCGGCCGTATCCCACCGAGGCAGGGTGGCCCAAAAAGAAAAACAAAAGTTTCTCTTTTTTAAATTTAGTAATTTATACAGGAGAAGGGGTTACCAGCCCCTTGCTCCCGGCATTTTAGTCGCCTCTTACGACATGCATGGCTTATGGAGGAAGAATTCTGTTCCACTTCCCCATGGAGGTAAGAGGAAATAAACAAGAAGAAGAACTAGAAAGAAAATAGAAGAAAACCCTGAGGGGTGTGTATATATATGCTTGTACATGTATGTGTAGTGTGACCTAAGTGTAAGTAGAAGTAGCAAGACGTACCTGTCATCTTGCATATTTGAGACAGACAAAAGACACCAGTAATCCTACCGTCATGTAAAACAATTACAGGCTTTCGTTTTACACTCACTTGGCAGGATAGTAGTACCTTCCTGGGTTGTTGCTGTCTACCAACCTACTACATTGAAAATATAAATAAATATAAATCTTTCTTTCTTTCAACACACCGGCCGTATCCCACCGAGGCGGGGTGGCCCAAAAGGAAAAACGAAAGTTTCCCCTTTTACATTTAGTAATATATACAGGAGAAGGGGTTACTAGCCCCTTGCTCCCAGCATTTTAGTCGCCTCTTACAATACGCACGGCTTACGGAGGAAGAATTCTGTTCCATTTCCCCATTGAAGTAAGAGGAAATAAACAAGAACAAGAACTAGAAAGAAAATAGAAGAAAACCCAAAGTGGTGTGTATATATATGCTTGTACACCAGTAATCCTACCGTCATGTAAAACAATTACAGGCTTTCGTTTTACACTCACTTGGCAGGATAGTAGTACCTTCCTGGGTTGTTGCTGTCTACCAACCTACTACATTGAAAATATAAATAAATATAATTTTTTTTTTTTCAACAAACCGGCCATATCCCACCAAGGCAGGGTGGCCCAAAAAGAAAAACAAAAGTTTCTCTTTTTAAATTTAGTAATTTATACAGGAGAAGGGGTTACTAGCCCCTTGCTCCCGGCATTTTAGTCGCCTCTTACAACACGCATGGCTTACGGAGGAAGAATTCTGTTCCACTTCCCCATGGAGGTAAGAGGAAATAAACAAGAACAAAAACTAGAAAGAAAATAGAAGAAAACCCAAAGGGGTGTGTATATATATGCTTGTACATGTATGTGTTGTGTGACCTAAGTGTAAGTAGAAGTAGCAAGATGTACCTGTCATCTTGCATATTTGAGACAGACAAAAGACACCAGTAATCCTACCATCATGTAAGACAATTACAGGCTTTCGTTTTACACTCACTTGGCAGGATGGTAGTACCTTCCTGGGTTGTTGCTGTCTACCAACCTACTACATTGAAAATATAAATAAATATAAATATGAAATATAAATAAATAATTTTAATGATAAATGAACATTATATACTTTTATTGAATACTTGTTGGCATTCTTTCATGAATTCTCAAAGGTTTCTCCTGTACCAAAGGACTGGCACTCTGAACTTTCTTTGGCCTCATGTTGGCTTATTTCACAGTCACAATCACTACACAAGCACAAAAAATAATGGATGAGTGCGCGGAGTATTGCTAACTCAATGAGAGACAGAGGCAGACTGAGTCTGGTACACATGAAAAGTGGATGTACGAAACCCAGGGGAAAGTTTCGCCAAAAAAAGTGCTCGAATTCCAAATTCTATGATTTCCACACCGGACGAAAACCGGGGGTCCACTGTACTAAGTACTGTACAGTTTTTCTAATGATCAAACTATTGCTTGCATTAGATACACTTGCATAAGTTAAACTTATGCATGCCTGCACTTGAATAATTTACTTCTTTATTTCAG